GAGAAAAGCGGGTTAACTTTTTTTTCCTCTTTTGATTGATTGATTGATTGATTGATTGATTGGTAAGGGATGGGTCGCCTCCTCCACCCCCACCCGATCACACACACACACACACACACACACGCACACACACGCACACACACGCACACACACGTTAAAAAAAAAAAAAAAAAAAAAAAAACTTATTTTTATATTTTATTTTTTATTTTTAATTTGGTGAAGATTTTCGATGTGACCCTGAAGCAAATGTTGTTCAGTTTATTTTTCTGCATAACATAGTGTTTTTTCGGAAGTTTTGGACCATGTCCGTTTTTTTTTTTCCAACGGGATTCAATGGGGATTCAACGGGATTCAATGGGGATTCAATGGGGATTCAACGGGACAATTTTTTTTTGGTTCACGTGCGTCCAGCGTCGTGTCCGAGACCCAATGCACCCTCCCCGTTGAACAATATTCAACGGGGAGGGCCCGTTGTACCATTCAACGGGAATTCAACGGGGCCCCGGGGGCTATTCAACGGGTACAACGGAGTTGAAACTTCCCCGTTGCCCGTTGAATACACACATAGTTAGACACGGCTCTTCGATTCTGGCCACCGAACGTTGTGGCCATCCACTACCAAACTTGACACCGTGCGAAATCGAGCAGCAGAACAAGTACGGATGTCGGCGGACTACTCAATCTCGTCCAGTCACCGAAGACAATGTGGTTTTCCTGCTGCGCAGCCGATTTCACCGAACACGCTAACACAAAACCTGTCTCTCTCTCTATCAGTATCCCGCACCGTACATAAGTTCGGATCCCGGCGAATAACGCATTGCCACATACCCGTCGATCTGACTGCGGTCTTTTTTGTGCCCCTTCGTCGGACCCGCTTTGCAGTGTAACCTCGAACGATAGGCAGGTACCTTCAACGGTGGTTAGGAAAGGAAGAGGCATGTGTGTACTTGCAAGTAGACGCTATATCGTTTTATCGCAATGACAGTGTGTCGGATTGTTTTTTCGCAATGATAACACCGTCGCCTGCTCCAGGAATTCGCAGACGACAAGCAAACAGCCATATGAAATCACCGTGCTGATGGCGTGCGAAACCTGTTGTCCATCTGCGTTCGACTTCACGCGTATTTGTGGCATGAAAGCCGATCAGTCCGCTTAAACTCTTTTCTCCTTAGCCTCCAACGACACTGTGGTTTTTGTGCGTGCCTAACCTATCTCTCTCTCTCTCCATCCTTCGCTCGCACCGGTGTCAAGTTCGGATCCCGGCGAACTTCGCGTCTTCCGCAGGCCCTTTCCGCGGACCTGCATTTGCGTCTGACCACAGACGTGCGCATGGGTTCGTGCTGCATCTTCGATGGCGACAACCGCACAAGTGCGGATCCTGTCTTCCTGTGTTTCAGTCTTTCTCGCAGCGTCCCCAAGTTCGGATCCTTGCGAACTTGGCGTTTTCGTCAGTTCATAGAATTGATAGTGGTCTTTCGACCCCTCGTGAAATCCACCGAAGTTGCTAGTCCGCCCGAATCCGGACTTCTCGTTTTGCCCGAGCA